TCTTTGATGAAACACGATATTAAACCAAATCAAGCGTTTAATGGATCTAGGTGTGGACTATTAAATAAAGACAACCAGTAAAAATAAAATTAAGGATCTGCTATTAAATAATCATGGAAATTTTCAAACACAATTATCTAGTTTTGTTTAGACAAATTTTTGAAAACACCCAATTTTCAAATTTATATAGAAAAATCAACTTTTTTTTGAAAAAAAAAAATCAGCAAAACCAACCATTTTCAGATGAAAATGGTCGGTTTTGTTGTGGAAGAGTTTTTCGAATTGCACAGGACTAACAGTCCCGACTAACAGTCCCGTGCATTTTGTTTTCTTTTCGAACTGTACTCATCGAAAAGTAAACGAAATGCACGGGGATGCTAGTCCTGCGTAGTTCGAAAAGTAAACAAAATGCAGGGGGCTACTAGTCCCGTGCAGTTCGAAAAACACTTCCTCAGCAAAACCGACCTTTTCCATCTGAAAATGGTAGGTTTTGCTAATTTTTTTCAGAAATGGTCGATTTTGCTATATAAATTTGAAAATTAGGTGTTTTCAAAATTTTTTCAAATTTTTGTCCTTTTGTTTATAAACATAAAGAAAATAGAAGTGGTCTAGATTAAGACGACGGCCAGGTGGAGAATGAGCAAATAGAAGTGACTGCCTTACATATGTAGGAAAGGAGAGATGAGAGGTCGCAGTTGTCCAAAAAACTGCTCCCACCAATCTCTTCGCATGTCCAAAAATATGTTCCCACCAATCTCTTAGTTCACTTGAAAAAGTATATAGGGGCTAAATCACAATTATTTACTATATTGGAGACCGTCTCACATGAAAAATAATAAGGGGGCCGGTCGCATTAGGTTTTTTTTTTTTTAGGTCCTAATACATTTTTCTAAAAAATTATAATATATAATTTATTAATTATTTTTATTACATACATGTGCTCCCCATGAAAAAAAATTCTGAATCCGTCCCTGAATTACAACAACAGTTTTGACGGCAAATCCTCATCAAGTCATCGCTGACATCCATGAGTCAGACACAAAGACAAGGAAGACCAGAACACGGCAAGAGCTTGCAAAGACGACGACTTCATTACCCCCAATTTTTACATCCTCCCGTGCAATTGCGCGACAGCTTACCTTGAAACCAGCCGTGCATGAACGCGGCGTGAGCAGGTTGAAGCCGCGATGTCCGTACGAACCTGCTCACGTATGCGGATGCGGCGAGCCTTGACCCGCTTCGCCATCTTCCTCCTCTTCTTCCTTTTCCTGGCTCCTGCTCTGTTCTCGTGATGCCTCGTCTTTTGACCGGAGGTGTTTCTTTTATAAGCGAGGACTACTCGCTAGTGAGTTTGTGATTGAATGGGGAATTTTTATTTTGTCGTGGATCCGTTACTTGGCAAAATTTAGCCCTTTGATTTTGAAGAGTACAGTTTGATATTGAACGGTGGTGATTGGAGAGAATACGTTGGATCCGTGGCCAGCGCGCTCGGCCGTTTGGTCTACTTTATGTCGGGCCAAGGCTTTTTCTTTTGTTGCTCGGCCTGCGTTTGTTTATGAGGCCCAAAACGATTTGATGTTTTTCCTTTTTTTTCCCCAAGTTGTTTCGTGGAGATTTTTAGAGCAAAGCTAGTTAAAGAAGAATGAAAGAGCCGTACACAATTTTGGCTCTTATGATGCATACGTTTGTTTTGTAATTATTGAGTAAAGGATATCCTTTTGGTTTGGATAGGGTTTATATCACAAAAACCACATGGACTTTTACAATATCACCTAAGCTTCTGGGGTTTCTCACAAAATTAAAATTTCAGGTATTAACTTTGAACTTTTCTCACTGGGCCACCCGCGTGTAATTTGCAAATAACTAAAATTCCCTTGAAAGGGTAAAAAAAAACCTAAATTTAGGGAGGAGTTATGTTGCTTGTAAATGAAAAATGACAAAATTAGGAAATTTTTTTTGTCTCTAAAACATCTTGGTTATTTGCAAAGTACCGGTGCGGGGGTCATGTGGGGGAAAGTCGGAGTTCAAGGGGTTTACTTGAGGCATCCCAAAGTTTAGAGGGTTTATGCACAACACTTCCAGAATTTTAGGGGTTTTACGTGAAATTAACCCTTTTAAAATTACACTGAAACATTTTAAAAGATGAAATACAGGCACCAGTAAAAAGTAGTTGGTTGCTAAATGACACAAATTGTATAAATCTGCATTACTTAGAGAAGATTTATACATACAGGTCTTGAGTTCGATTCCAAATTAGATTATTTAAATAATAATAATTATACAAACACATGTCTCACTTTCAGTATACAGAAGCTAAACTTTAATGACCTAATCCTTCGCCTAAACAATGGACATAAAAAAAATAATGAGATTAGTCACATATACTCTAAAACTGTTAACGAAATAACAAGAAACAACATTATTCTAAGCTCCAATCTACGAGCCCAAAGATATATTGTATATTTCTATTTTTACAGAATTCGAGATGTTATTCTTTATCCGATATCAATTATCTATTTCCAAGTTCAAGGTTAAGTACATGCCAATAATTTAAAAAAAACTTCGAAATAAGAATAATTTCATCGAAACAACACTATTCATTTTTGGCTATTTTATGGCAAACACATATACCAATGTTATTAGTCCTTTCATCACGAACCCATATATACCAATATCAATTCTATGAATAGTGGATCTGGATTTGATGGATTATTAAATAACAACTGGTAAATTTGAATTTAAGGATCAGGATCTTTTCTAGTGCACTATATTTATTCTGGTTTATACTAGAAGAGGGACCTAAAACTCGGAAGGAATTTTATAAGAGTTGTGTTGTAATTGGAGAATTTTTTTTTCTCCCGGATCGATAGCCTGACAAAATCTGTACCTTTGATTTTGAGAAGAAGGTTTAAGATTGAGCGGTTGAGATGGGAGCACATGGAGGATCCCCAGCTATTGTACTTCTTCCACTGGTATGGTTTTAGTTGGGCCTGAGTTGACCATCGGGTTAAGGCCCAGAATAGTATTGTTGTCTTTCTCCTTTTAATTTTCTATAGGAAAATATTTCATGAAGGTTACAGCAAGACTAGTACAGAAGAACAAAAAAAAATAGATAAACATAATTCACTTATGAGGGGTGTTCGTTTCAAATCCTTGTTTTGTTATGGGTTGAGATTTCTAAAATTTTATTTGTTTCATTAATATTTTGAGATTTAGGGGGTGTTTGGTTCAATTTCTAGAAATTATAGGAAATATTTTCCACCTAAAATATGATTTCCTTGTATTTCTTAAAAAATTATAGGAAAAATTTTGAGAAATCAAAAAGTACTAATTTTCTTATTTTTTGTACTTTGCTTGTTTGGTTCAAAACAAGAAAATAGCTCATAAATTTATAGAAAATAACAAGATTTGGTAGGTTTTTAATTAAATATGGTATGTGTTAGATTTCTGGTGATTTCCTCTCATTTTGAGAGGAAATTGCTTTCTGTAAAATTTGGTAGGTTTTGATATTTTATAAAAAATACTTCTGTAAATTTTTTGTTGAACCAAACACAATTTACAGATATCTTTGGAAAACTTTTAATTACAAATTTGCCATTGTCAGATGTTTTGAGAAAAGTTTTCTCAAAAAGTGTGCAACCAAACAGCCCCTTAGAGGGTATTTGGTTTCATAATTTTATAGAAAAGTTTTCTCAAAATGTATTTTCTATAGATTTCCGTAAACTATGTTTGGTTCAAAAAAAAATTACAGAAATATTTTCTGTAAAGTATAAAAAATTACCAAAATTTAAAAAAATTAATTTCCTCTCAAAATGGGCAAAAATCACCCAAAAATCTGACACCACATTGACACTTTTCTATAAACTTGATAATTTTCTATAAATTTAGGGGATGTTTGGTTTAATTTCTACAAATTATAGGTAATCTTGCTATTTTCTATAAAGTTATGGGTCATTTTTTTTTTAAACCAAACAAACAAAATAAAAAAAATAAGAAAATTGGTACTTTTTGACTTCTCAAAACTTTTCTTATAATTTTTTTAAGAAATATAAGGAAATCATATTTTGGGTGGAAAACATTTCCTATAATTTATAGAAATTGAACCAAACACCCCCTTAGGATACTACAATTTGTAATATTTTATTTGTTTCAAGCTCAAATTGTAGCATCGTCAAATGCCAAAATTTTATAATATGATGAACATGCTATCTTGGTGAGGTTACCCTCACAAAAAAACGAAATTAGGATTTGTCAAATCCTCTCCAATTGAGAGGTAAGCACACCCATTTATGAGATTTGTCAAAATCCTCACCAAATGAGAGGATTTGGCAAATTCTAAAAATTAGGTATTTTTTGCACTTCTGGGATTCAATATTCTAAAAAATTTCTTCAAACAAACACCATATATAAAATCCCAAAATACAAAAAAACTCACTTTTTTATCTCAACTTGTAATCCATACCAACTGCCTAAATTTTTGGTGAAACAAACACCCCCTTATGCTACTTCTTTTTCAAGTTGTTCCAAGTCATCTACCGTATATTTTTAACGAATTTACATTTTAATATGCATACGAAGTAGCAAACAATTTATAAATCTATGCGGACTCAGCCTCTCCAGCGAGTTACTGGGTATATTCAGGACGAGGAGTAACAAGTCTACGACTGAAAGAACGACGAGAAGCCACAAATACAGTAGTTTTCTTCTTCTTAGCTGATGGCAAATACGCATCAAGTTATACAGAAACTAGGAAGCTGCAAAACTGTACACCCCAAAAATAAGTAAAGAATTAAACAAAACAATGTGTTTGTAAACCAAGTTGATTTTGCTTTGAGATTCGTGTTGATGCGCGATATGCATCAAGGCATGCACATGTCATAGTTAGCCTTGAGATGAATCACGCACCAACACAAGTCACAAAGCAAATCTAACGGGAAAAATTTTGGAGGACATGAGATGTATATCCTCTTCTTGGTGTGTAAGGCACACCAACACAAATCTTAAAGCAAACCTAACGGATCCGGATAGAAAATTGGTAGACAGAGCCCTCTATCCACTTAAGTTTGCTCCCCTCCATCCATCCTAACACACCTACACACACTTGTACTACAAAAGAAATAAGAGTTAGAACTAAAGTGACAGGAAAACAGAAAACAGGAATCCAATCAGAGGGGAAGGAAAAAACAAACAGCAAACGAGGGAACGTTGGGGGATGCCAATATTAGACGCTACATAAATGATAGTATTAATGAGGATCCTTCTTGGGAAGTTCACCTACAATCGCCTTAGCAGCACCGACTATAGCCATTGCACCACCAACTCCTGATACGCGAAGCGCTGATAGTTGCGCTGGTGTTACAACATGCTTCTCGTAAAATAGAAAGGCATGACTTGTCAATAAGGGGAAACAAATTAGAGTTGAACCACTGATCAAACTTCAACTAACTACGCATACCATACAAAGGCTTGACCGTATTCGTGGCTCCTACAGGGGAGCAATAACAAATTTCAGTATGTTAGCAACAGACGAGCGTTTAGGAAGAGTTTTTCAAGGCAATAAACAGTAGGTTCATCTTACCCCCATCCTGCAGTGTGGTGTAGGAAATTCTCCAAGATTTTTCAAGGCACGCCTTTCAGAAGCTGAAATAAAAAACTAATGTATCTACAAATTCGTTATGTCGAAAATATATAATATGCAGTGAGAATGATTGAGGCACAACCATTTGATGCTATATACTGTTTCTCTTCACTCCTCTCAGCTGATTAACAAAGAATGCATAGAAGTAAATGAGGAAAGCTTCTGGTCCATCTCTCTTGCAATTACTAAAATAATATTGTAAACTAAGGTTTTCATCGAATCAATGAGATGAAGATATGCCACATAACTAGGGTCCCACATAACTAGGGTCAGCTCCCTTCTGATTGGGTTTATTTCTTAGTTCAATCTATTTGCAAATATTATTTGCGTTTGCAATATGGAATGCCTAGATAGAGAAAATAACAATATTTCCCTCAAAACGTAGCCATAAATCTAAATGCCAAAAACATACACGTTTTAACAATTCATGAAAGAATATCCCCTATCCACTAAGTAAATTCTATAGTCTGGAGAAAGACAAGAGAAACAATTTGAAACAACAATCACAGGAATCAAAATAAATAGTTACTTTTCAAAGTTGGATAAATTTCAGAGCCCCCCACCAAATCAAATCAACGGTGCTAATGACATCACCCTATTTTGATTGTGTAGGAAATAAGTGCTCATTGATTGCTTAGGGGAAGCACAGGAAAATTACAAGTTCAGGGGGGTTTCACAGGACACCCAAAGTCCGCTGGTGACCATCCTCATCGTATAGGAAATAAGTGCTTACTGATTGGTTAGAGGGGTCTGCAGACATAGAGAAAGTGAGGTGGGTACCCAAAGTCCGCTGGTGACCATCCTCATCGTATAGGAAATAAGTGCTTACTGATTGGTTAGAGGGGTCTGCAGACATAGAGAAAGTGAGGTGGGTACCCAAAGTCCGCTGGTGACCATCCTCATCGTTGAAACCCTCTGATGTTCAGGAAGTTTTGCCAAATTTACCCAATAAAGTTCGTTCAACATTCTATACATAGGAATTTTAATGAATTTAACTGAAATTTGATTGTCTCGCCTTCCCATTCCCCGACAAACAAAATGAATGGGGGAGTTAGGGATTAACTTTTTAGAAAAACTTTCAATGAGAACAAAACTACATGACTGCTTATCACAGGTAAAACTGGGAAAATCTTGTACCTGGAACACTAGCAAATATTCCTCAAATTTCACCATTGAAGTTACTAATTACCGTCCCATCATGCAAATGGCAGTCTCATGCATGGCAACGTGCAGCAGATATAAGATACGTCCCCTAAGAAGCCAACAAATGCATCGGTATTTCAAGAGTTAGAGGTGAGAAACCATGTAGGCCATTGACAAGAAAAGTATTAACAAAATAAAAGAAAGATGCAAGTAGTTACACACCTGATTATTAATGCAGCAAAGCCAAAATACAAAGAAGTCGGCACCATTGTGCACCTATAGAAATCAAGGCATCTATCACCAGATTATACAACAAATGGAGAGGAAAATTGTCACTCGACCATTCCACAAATGACATAAATGTAAACGCTAGAAAAAGAGACAATAGTGGACGACGCTAGCAGAAAAACATCGTTTCAGTAGTGGTTATCAAAGTTATTAGGCTTTTTTCTTTTTATTGTCTTTTCTTTTTTTCCCCCTCTTTCTAGGAAAAATCTATCAGGTTCACCAAACTCCATCAAGGCTGGGGATTTACACCCAGCAAAAAATAAAAGCAATTTATACTTGTTTACTAAACTGAGGCAAGAAAATTGTAACTGAATTGACATCAGATAATTCACTTGCTATGACAATTTCCTACGAAATAGAATATTGATAATCAAACAGGAAAACAATGTACAAAAACACTACAAATTTAAGTTTCATTTCATCTGCATAAATTTTCAGTTGATAGGCTGAAAATTTATTGCGAATAAAAATACTAAAATAATTTTCAGTAGCGGAAATTGGAATTTGGCCACTTTATAACAAAAATGCAGCTCTTTTTGAGAAATATTCTTTCAATATCCGCATAGCTATATCTATGTCAATTCATTCGCACTGGCTCCATAATGCTAATGGAGCTTGATGGATGGGTCATCAGATTCATCACTTCCCAATGCAGCGCGGAAGTGATAAACCTCATAATCCACCAATAGGTGTTCTCTGAATCCACAAAGAAACAATCTTCGAATGCACGAAGAGACAACCTCGAATCCACAAATTAATATTAAAGAGAATTTAATTAATAAAAGTGATCTTCGCCCTTGGGTTACATTCCTCTTCTTAAATAGAATAATAACTAAGACTCCTAATAAAACTATATAATTACAAAAAAGTAGAAAGTATCAAACCTTACACTAAAAAGTCTCTCTATAATATAGGAAACAAATTACATCAAATAGATAGGCTACCAAAGTTATCAGGTTTACAAATTACGTCAAGCTTAAAGAGTGTTCAACCATCAAGAAAGTGAAATAAGCACCCATGGAAGAAAACCTCCCAGTACACAAGAGTGAGACCATAAGCGCTGACAACCCTTATAACAACAAAGAAACTGAGAGTGGTTACCATAACAACTGAGATTATGAAAATAATTCCACTACTGCTATTTATTGTTTACATTAATTTCCTAAAGACTATAAAACACGTGAGCAAATCACACATTTTGTCCTCACAAGTGGGAGTAAAGGACTACTAAACCGGTCGCACCTTCAATATGTAGAACAATCAGAACCTATTACAAACCGTTACAGCAGAGAACAACTAAATTCTGAATAGCATTAGCAGATCCAGCATTACCGCATGTACGACATCTAGCACTAGCCATATGAGGGCAAATAAAAAACTTACCATTATGGCTTCAAGTCTTAAGCCATGAACAACAAATATCCAGTAGTCATGAGAACCAGAGCTCTTTTAGTTTCGAATCCCTGCACAACTGGAGCCACCGCCAAGGAAAATGCAAATGAAGTGTACAGAATCCCCAAGGAAGTGGTTCCAAGGTCCCCCTCCTATTATTAACAAATAAAAATAAAAAAAAAACAATTTAAAAAAAATTAGGCATCAGCGAGAACCAAATCTTACTAATATTCAACATCAATATCAAAATGGTTAAATCTAAAGATGAAGAAGAAAGTGATGCTCAAGATGTGAGCATCTCTTACAAGCTTCTTGGATGAAGAACAGTCTCCAATCGCCACATCAAGAGGCAATTCTTCATCCAATCGACCAGAGATTCTAGCAAACGAATAACCTCAAAAAACTGAGAACTCAACAAAATACAACGGAAATGTTGCTTTCAAACATCACAATCACATTAGCACGAATTAGATTCTTCTAAAGACTGGACCATCCAGAGAGAAACAAGAGAGGAGAAAAAGATGAGAGCAATTACAGGCCAGCGCTGAAGAGATGTAAGTAGAGGCCGTAACCAATTAGTCTACAAACAGAAACATCTAATTAGCCACGTCCTTCGATTTTGAACAATAACCAACACAATAAATTACTTCTAATCCACAGAAATCACTCACTAATCAAATATCGAAGGAAAAAAGTGCGCTTTTTTTTTGATCCACGGCATAAAAGGAAGTAATTACACTAGAGATAACAACTAAACAGCGACAAAAAAACAAGAAAAAAATACTACTCGAATGAGGAAAACCCCTAGACCCGCGCTAGGCCTAGGAGCTGGTGAACTTGGTGACGGCCTTGGTGCCCTCGGAGACGGCGTGCTTGGCGAGCTCGCCGGGGAGGACGAGGCGGACGGAGGTCTGGATCTCGCGGGAGGTGATGGTGGGCTTCTTGTTGTAGCGGGCCAGGCGTGAGGCCTCCTGGGCCAGCTTCTCGAAGATGTCGTTGATGAAGGAGTTCATGATCCCCATCGCCTTGCTCGAGATCCCGATGTCCGGGTGGACCTGCTTCAGGACCTTGAAGATGTAGATCTTGTACGTCTCCACGCTCTTCGCCTTCCTCTTCTTCTTCGCCTTGCCGCTCTTGTCCCCTCCCCCTTCCTTCGACGCCGGCAGCCTCTTCTCGGCCTTGGGCTTCTTCCCCGCGGGGGCCTTCTCCGCCTTCTTGGGCTCCTCCTCCTCCGTCGGCTTCTCCGCCGCGGGCTTCTTCTCGGCCGCTGGCTTCTTCTCCGCCTTGGGCGCCATTTTTCGAGATCGAGAGCCGGGGTTAGGGGCTGGCTGGGTTTTTTTTAGGGCAAGGGTATTTCGGTCGCTTGAGATGAGTGGGGGGAAGAGGCTTGAGGGGATTGCTTTTGATTGGGCCGATGCTGGAGTCTCGGATCGATGAGCTGGACGTCTTGTGTCCGTTGGCTCTCATTGGAGATGGACGGTCGGGATTCGTGGGATGAGAAGGGGCTGCGCTCGCTGAGGCGGGGAAAATTTGAGATGGGGAGAGAGATAAATTTTTAGAAATTTAAAGGTGTTCGTATGCTTTCGAATAGGGCTATTTGCATATATGTACTCTTTTTAATTATGGGTATTTAAAAAAATACACTCTAAATCTTGATATTTTTCAAACCACCCCTCAAATCATTAATTTCTGAAATAAATTACCCCTTTAAATGATGTATATTTCTCAAGACAAAAAAAAATCATCATCTGCCAAATTATGATAAAATAGGAATAATTTTAGCCAAATTATATTAATTTTCTACTACTAGACAGAAAAAACCTTGAGATTTATTCTCGTCAAATGCAATAAAATATTATTAGTTTCTAAGAACCCTATTCGC